TACCTACATGTACATAGTCAGTGTGAGAGAGACAAGAACATGTGTCACTTCCTCAAGGTACATACCTACATGTACATAGTCAGTGTGAGAGAGACAAGTACATGTGTCACGTCCTCAAGGTACATACCTACATGTACATAGTCAGTGAGAGAGAGACAAGAACATGTGTCACTTCCTCAAGGTATGTACCTACATGTACATAGTCAGTGTGAGAGAGACAAGAACATGTGTCACTTCCTCAAGGTACGTATCTACAGTACATAGTCAGTGTGAGAGACAAGAACATGTGTCATGTCCTCAAGGTACGTACCTACATGTACATAGTCAGTGTGAGAGAGACAAGAACATGTGTCACTTCCTCAAGGTTCATACCTACATGTACTTAGTCAGTGTGAGAGAGACAAGAACATGTGTCACTTCCTCAAGGTTCATACCTACATGTACATAGTCAGTGTGAGAGAGACAAGGACATGTGTCACGTCCTCAAGGTACGTACCTACATGTACATAGTCAGTGTGAGAGACACAAGAACATGTGTCACTTCCTCAAGGTACATACCTACATGTACATAGTCAGTGTGAGAGAGACAAGGACATGTGTCACGTCCTTAAGGTACGTACCTACATGTACATAGTCAGTGTGAGAGAGACAAGAACATGTGTCACTTCCTCAAGTTACATACCTACATGTACATAGTCAGTGTGAGAGAGACAAGAACATGTGTCACTTCCTCAAGGTACGTACCTACATGTACATAGACAGTGTGAGAGACAAGAACATGTGTCACTTCCTCAAGGTACATACCTACATGTACATTGACAGTGTGAGAGAGACAAGAACATGTGTCACTTTCTCAAGTTACATACCTACATGTACATAGTCAGTGTGAGAGAGACAAGAACATGTGTCATGTCCTCAAGGTACATACCTACATGTACATTGACAGTGTGATAGACAAGAACATAACTTAGTTCTAATTAGCAGTAGTTTGCAAATGTATGTAAAACTTTCCTATTCAACTTAAACTTAAAAACTTAAATGTGCAGTTTGTTTAAAGCAATCTTTTGTTTCCTTAGCTTTGCTTTAGTTTGTATAAATACGTCTTCTTCGTGTAAGTTTGACATGATAGTAAACCAGTTTAAATTAGTCAGTGTATATTGATATCTAATATTTGTGTTTCAGTCTGTGTTCAATATGCTGTTTTTGGAGACATTTAACATGGACCTATTAGAGACTGCCAGTACAGGACTTTTCTGTCTCATATGTTGTCACCAGGTAAGATCTGTACTCCCCAGGTGTGTCCTTGTGTCTGTCTGTTGTCACCAGGTATGTACTGTACTCCCCATGTGTCCCTGTCTCTGTCTGTTGTCACCAGGTATGTGCTGTACTCCCCATGTGTCCCTGTCTCTGTCTGTTGTCACCAGCTATGTACTGTACTCCCCAGGTGTGTCCTTGTGTCGGTCTGTTGTCACCAGGTATGTACTGTACTCCCCAGGTGTGTCCTAGCCTCTGTCTGTTGTCACTAGGTATGTACTATACTCCCCATGTGTCCCTGTCTCTGTCTGTTGTCACCAGGTATGTACTATACTCCCCCATGTGTCCGTGTCTCTGTCTGTTATCACCAGGTATGTACTGTACTCCCCAGGTGTGTCCTAGCCTCTGTCTGTTGTCACTAGGTATGTACTATACTCCCCATGTGTCCCTGTCTCTGTCTGTTATCACCAGGTATGTACTATACTCCCCCATGTGTCCGTGTCTCTGTCTGTTATCACCAGGTATGTACTGTACTCCCCCATGTGTCCCTGTCTCTGTCTGTTGTCACCAGGTATGTACTGTACTCCCCAGGTGTGTCACTGTCTCTGTCTGTTGTCACCAGGTATGTACTGTACTCCCCATGTGTCCTTGTCTCTGTCTGTTGTCACCAGGTATGTACTGTACTCCCCCATGTGTCCCTGTCTCTGTCTGTTGTCGCAAGGTATGTCCTGTACTCCCCAGGTGTGTCCCTGTCTCTGTCTGTTGCCGTCAGGGATGTACTGTACTCCCCCATGTTTCCCTGTCTCTGTCTGTTATCACCAGGCATGTACTATACTCCCCCATGTGTCCTTGTGTCTGTCTGTTGTCCCCAGGTATGTGCTGTACTCCCTGGGTGTGTCCTTGTGTCTGTCTGTTGTCACCAGGGATGTACTGTACTCCCCAGGTGGGTCCTAGCCTCTGTCTGTTGTCACTAGGTATGTACTATTCTCCCCATGTGTCCCTGTCTCTCTCTGTTATCACCAGGTATGTGCTGTACTCCCTAGGTGTGTCCTTGTGTCTGACTGTTATCACCAGGTATGTTCTGCACTCCCCATGTGTCCGTGTCTCTGTCTGTTGTCACCAGGTATGTGCTGTACTCCCTAGGTGTGTCCTTGTGTCTGTCTGTTGTCACCAGGTATGTACTGTACTCCCCAGGTGTGTCCTAGCCTCTGTCTGTTGTCACCAGGTATGTACTATACTCCCCATGTGTCCCTGTCTCTGTCTGTTGTCACCAGGTATGTGCTGTACTCCCTAGGTGTGTCCTTGTGTCTGTCTGTTGTCACCAGCTATGTACTATACTCCCCCATGTGTCCCTGTCTCTGTCTGATGTTGCAAGGTATGTACTGTACTCCCCAGGCGTGTCCTTGTGTCTGTCTGTTGTCGTCAGGTATGTACTGTACTCCACAGGTGTTGTGATGTGTCAGAAGAAATTTATAAACATTCTTTCCATCTTTTAATCAAAGTATGCTAGTTTTATCTCAAGGTTTTTCTCCAACAGGAGCAGTACAGAGAGTTAGTGAACCAGTTACTCCAGACCCAATCAGATCCCACCTACAAGCAGCGCCTCCTGGAGGCCTTCAACAACCTTACTCCACCCACGCTTACCATGAGCATCAACCGCCAGAGCAAGATTGCGTTCATGCATAACTTTGATCAATTTCTCACCAATGTGCGAGGATTTCTATGTGTCAAATAGTGTAGGTCTAAATATGACAGATTTTCTTTGTGTCAAATAGTGTATGAATATGACAGTTTTTATATGTGTCAAACAATGTAGGTCTAAATGTGTTGGTATCTCTGAGGTACAACAGTGGGGATATACGTATATGTTGGGACAAAGTCTAATAATTATTTTGATAGAATCAGAGGTAAAAACTGTTATTTTCCAAGGTCATGACCTGTGAACTGATTGACAAGTCATAGATGTATATATTGAAATCAGAAGTATTACAGGTCTATAGACCCTTCACTGATGGAAATAAACAATCTGTATCAGTTGTGTGTGTTCCACTTGTTATGGACTTCAAATTTCTGCCAAGGGATATTGGGAGACATTGAAAAGGGACATTACTTTGTTTGCATGACACAATGTACTTAAGATGTAGGAAGAGTTTCATAAGTGATTTATATTCCATGACATGGAGATGACAATTCTCTTACACTGATTATACAACTCTCTCATTCAGTATATCTTCCTAACCGAAGAGTAAACAAGATGAAAGATTGAAATGAAGTTCAGTGTTGCCTGTATGGAACAGTGTTCTCGTCCGTTTCCCTGGTAGACGTGCCAATGATGACTGGTAACTGGTAACTAGTAACAGCCATCAGTAGATACATACTGTGCTCTGTGTGTATTTGTATACACACTCAACTTAAAGCATGGTGCCACCTATTTGGTGGTATACTTTACCATATAATTTGTGTGTTATGTACTAGAACATCTTGCTGTCAAATTTCGGTCATTGCAACTGTGTTTAAGAATTGCAGGAAATGAACATCAAGGGTATTTCTGAGAACCAGATTTTTTTGGTTGAAAATACTATGTCAGATGTGTATTGAGATTCATCTACTCTTGATTACATAAAACCCAGGATAGGGAGCAGTACCATTGTATTACAAGTATAAAATATAGTTCATTTTTCAGAGTAAAACTGATTCAAGGTTGTTTTTCATACTTTGACCTATAGATGTGTGAAAGACACAGGCAAATTCGAGTACATGTATCAGTAAAGTTGTTACAGCATGTAGTTACACTTATATATCAGCGAACGATTGGGGGGACAATATAAAGTATTTCCTAGTGAACTGTTTCCTATGTGATATGTATGTAAGTTATAATTTTAATGTCAAAGCTTTAAAAGATTGAGAGGTTTACTGAAGTCATACAATACAAAAATGAAAACACAACTCTGTAAGAAACTCTTATTTCATGGTACATCGTATTATTGTCAGAAAATAGTTATCTTGACATCACAATGGCTTGACGTGTCATACGCGCCTGAATTTGGTGATTTATAAAAATAGTGAATGTATGAGTATATCTTAGAGATTACCCTTCTGCACATAGTCTGCAATGTCTATCTCCTTTCAAAACTTTTTTTTATGGCTAGAGGTTGTTTATCACGGCCCTATCATAGTAATTGTAAAAGGAGATAGGTATTTCAGACTGCTCTGTACCTGGGATTTACTATTGTGAATAAAAACAAAACCATCATAACTACTACTAACACTCCTAGAGGGACACTTATCAGGCTGAGGGCAGGTTCATGTGGTATGTTTCAAAGCTTATAGATGCACAAATGTCGGGCAGCTACATTCCTTTCCCAAAATGCTCCTAATCAGGTTAGCACTTAAGCACAAGTTAGCTTTAGTGATGTGTCATATATAATACTGGATGTTTGTATGACACTGTAGATGATGTATGAAAAATTAGGTTGTATTTTGTATGTCAGTACTTGACAATGAGATCAAAATACTCTTAAATTAACAGATGACATTACTGTAATTTGTTTCGTATAACTTCCTTGTATATACAGGATGCTGTAATATTTATTTGACTTCCTTGTGTATACAGGATGCTGTAATATTTATTTGACTCCCATGTTTTGTTGTTTGTGTTACTGTTAATGTTAATATTAATGTAAGGCGGGTCTCCAGTACTGAGGAGTACATTGGTTGGATCATGTATTTTATCAATGTTAAATGAACTCATAAGTTTTAAAGAGTTATCAGCAGGATCATGTAACCAGTACTTTTTTAATGAAACTCCTGATTTTGAACAGAATTGGTGGGATCATGCAATTGTTCAGTGTTTAGTGAACTCTGGTATTGACGTGAACTCTTGGTTTTGAAAGTAATTGGCGGTATAATGTATTCTGTGGTTCCAAGAGGGAACTACAGGTTTTGAAGAGTAAATGGTGAATTGGTTGTACAAGGTTTAACGTCCCCTTCAAACCCTGTAAAACCAACCCACCATTTTACTCTTCAAAGTGGCAAGATTACGTAATCTGCTTTCTTTGAATTAGCTCTGGGATTGGGGAGCAATTAAATGGATCATATATTCTCTAGTTGGTGAACTCTGGGATTTGAAATGGTTGTTGAGTGTATGTCTCAGTGTGGTGATTGTGGACGAGTGAGTAGCCTGTGACATCAGATTGTGGATGAGTGAGTAGCCTGTGACATCAGATTGTGAACTAGTGAGTAGCATGTGACATCAGATTGTGAACTAGTGAGTAGCCTGCGACATCAGATTGTGAACTAGTGAGTAGCCTGTGACATCAGATTGTGAA